TTTCTCTTCACTACTATTAGGCACTTAGGAGTAAAGATTTACCTTTTATTTTTTCTTATTCACAGTGTCTTTAGAAATAATATTTTTTTCTTGAGATGTTTGGTAGGCAACAGATTTCCAGATTGAAGTTGAAATAGAAATGATTTTTTTCTGATTTCCAAATTGAAGTTGAAATAGAAATGATTTTTTTTCTGATTTCCAGATTGAAGTTGAAATAGGAATGATTTTTTCTGATTTCCAGATTGAAGTTGAAATAGAAATGATTTTTTTCCTGACTTTTAGAGAAATTATTCACTTTCCTTTTAACCTCAATGCTGAGAAAATATTCAAATAGATTACAAAAAATCTACCAAATTCCATAATGACAACCATATGGTAACAGAATCCCTAGTAGCAGGCTTAATAATTCTTCATATATTTAAACAGGCCAATTACTACTTTGAAACTTCATTGGCTTAAAGGTGTTGTCCTGTTGGTTTCAAAAAGTAACACTAATCACAATAATTACAGCTAATTTCTTTTATCAAATGTTTTTACTAAAGTTTAAGATTGTCTAGAGAAATATAGATCATGCAAGATTCTTCAAGTTCTCATAGATATTTATAGACAAAAACTGTATTTTTATTTTAAATTGATTTCACCCAAAGTAAGGCAGTAAAGCCACTAAGACAAAGGCTGTTACTGGGTGTGGAAGAATTAGAAAACATAAACTTTACTGAGGAGCAAGAACAAAAGAAGAGTAAGCAGGAGGACAGCAGAAAATGATTGACATTGCATTTAAATTTTTGAAGATTAAATTTGACTAGAAAGCATGGAGCTGGAAGAGAGTTCCAGAAGTGAAAAATGTAAGAAAATAATCTGTTAGCACAGAACTTACAGTTACATCTAGCCAAATCAACTGTATATTGGTGAGACCTCATCGCCAATCTAGTACTGCACTTAAATTCATAAAGTCTAGGTACCATAGTGAAGAGCTCAATCAAAAAGTTGCCAGTTGAAGTATTTATAAAAGAGGCACACGGAGGAAACTTTATGGCAGTGGGAAAGTGACTAAAGCTGAGATGCCATATCAGGATCAATAATATTGCCAATTCTTCTTTTATCCAGAATCCCTAAATATATAGAACCAGACTATATATGATAGCAATATTATAAGCATTGGCAAATGGTAGACATAGATATGTAAGATAGATTCTGGAGAGAAAAAATTATCTCGCAAGACACAATGAACCAGCTGACTTAACAGTGGATTCAATATAGTCTTTCCACTTCACGTCAGCTGAGAATATTAGCCTGTGAAGGAGCAACAAGTCATTCTCCTGGAGGTTAGCATCAGCCATGTTGATGGGAGGCAGAAAAGGGTCTCTCAGATGATTAATAGGGAGCAGTTTAGCTTTGGAGGTGTAAAATTAACAGGCCATCCTTTGCCCCAGTTAACAATAGACTGAATGCTGTTTTGACATCAGCCACCAAATAGACCTTGTCAGACTGATCAGAATGTATATTATATTCTTTTATTGAATTTTAATAGAGGTTTCTGGACTTGTATTCTAAACATATAGCAACATTCAATAAAAAATATACATCAGAGAGTTTTTTCTCCTTTTGCTTGCAATTAGATCATGTTAAGTGTATGATTCAGTAATTTTTGATATTATATATAAATAAAAACAACAACCAAATCTAAATATAAAGACACTGACCTACAACTGTTAATGACAGTTTTACACCAACCAGATCAGATGATTATATGATAATTGGGATCATAATTGTCTGATGATTATGGTTTTGGGATGAAACTCTGACTAATAGTAATAAGTTGGTGTTTCTTCATGTATTTCTGCTTGTTATTATCACAACTCTCTCTTGGTTTGAATTCACATTTCAGATTTTCTTATTCTGTTGTCATTGAACACTGTTGGTTTTTGTTAAGGTAGGTGTATAATTCTATTTCTTTTTTCAGGCTTTGTATATGTATGCTTTATCTTTATAATTTCTCTTTACTTTTTAGTTTTTTATATATATATATATATATATATATATATATATATATATATATGACATCATTTGTTTACATTTGAATACGCCATGAGCAGATATGAATGTATGCAAGAGAATCATGGAAGATTAAAGTTTAAAGGCAGTAAATTTGACCTTGCTAATTGAATGATTTTCTGTGGCTCGATCGGTTAAGAGCATGTCAGGCTAAATGATGGTTCTGTATAGGATACAGGTTCGAATCCTGTCAGAGAACAAATATTTTCTATGAAAATTTCTTGGACATTCAGGCCGGTAAATGTTGTTTAATGCTGTTTATTATAAACAGAGCATTTACTTAAATATTTGTATCTATAAAAAGAATGTATAAACATAAAAATGTCTTAATAATTGTTGAACTTTGTCCATTTCATAATATATATATATATATATATATATAATAAAAGCACAAAACAGTCCACTTTTATATATAAAATAGTAAGACAGATGACTGATATCATTGTTTGCCAAAATAGGCTATTCCCCATATGAGCCGATTTTGGGTTTTATTGTTTATTAATAATTATTTGCTCTTTAATAATAAATACATTGGCCTCATTTTGTGGATCAGTTTTAATATTTTATATTACTAGGATTCACTTGGATTATATAACAACAAATTTGTTACTTTTTATATATATATATATATATATATATATATATATTAGATGGAAAGTGAAGTCCACAAATAAACATCTTTTGAAAACGCCTGAAGACAAGTAGAAGAAATGGCAAGAACCCAAATAAAAGCCAGAGCTCTCCACCCACTGAATTCTTCAGGCCTGAAGATTTTGTTCAAGCATGAAACAGTGTTGACCTCAGTGTACACTTTTATATTTACATACACTCTACCCCTGATATTGAGCACTTTACCCCACTATATATATATATATATAAGCAAATATATGGATATAGATCCAACAATATGAAGAAAAATATATGGAAAAAAACAAACAAAAATCCTTATATGCAATTACACTGTTTTAATGTTAATATAATGTCAACGTTGGACGTTTCGGTCTAATAAACCATCTTCGGGACATATTCATAAAATATAATTAACATTATCAATTCAACATGACATTATATTAACATTAAAACAGCATAATTGCATATAAGGATTTTTGTTTGTTTTTTTCCGTCTATTTTTCTTATATATATATATATATATATATATATATATATATATACATACACAGGGTATCCATAAAGTTCGTTTGCACTTTAAAAAATTTATAACTTTATTTGTATTGGCGATAGAAATAATCTGCAAAAAATGTTATAAAGTTCAATGTACCTAGTTTTAAGTATAGCTAAAATAACTAATGTGATTTCAGGCATTACTGTAAATCAGTTGGCAAATGTTTCCCATGAACTGCAAAATCATATTACCCTTTGTATTACTAATGATGGAGGACATGTGGAAACTTAAATAAAAATTTTAATAAAAACCTAAAAAAAATATAGATTTACTTCTTTCTAATACTTTTTACAAATTATTTCTATCGCAAATACAAATAAAATTATAAATTTTTAAAAGTGCACCAAATATATATAAATATATATATATATATATATATATATATATATATATGGTGTCCATAAAGTTTGTGTGCATATATATATATATATATATATATATATATATATGGTGTCCATAAAGTTTGTGTGCATATATACTATGCTTTGACTGATATATAAAGCCTTACATAGTTACCATTCCATTATGGCATGTAAATGCTCTGTTTATAATAAATGTTATTTAATACTGTTTATTATAAACAGAGCATTTACTTAAATACTTGTATCTATAAAAAAGAACGTTAAACATAAAAATGTCTTTAATAAATACATTGTCGGACTTTGTCCATTTCTTAATATATATATATATATATATATATATATATATATAAATAAATAATTTGATGGAAATCTAATGGAATGGTAACTATGTAAGGCTTTATATATCAGTCAAAGCAATAGAAAAAAGAAATCAGATGAAATGACATGCAGATTTGGAGATTATCATCACAATTTCTGATACTGAGAACTAACATTATTTGTGTGGTCTTTGGTAACTTGGAAAATCTAATTTCAGGAAGAACTGCAAGGATAAGTATTGTGTTGCAACATAGATTTTCAATATTGAGATAAGATCAACATGCTGAGTCTTGTTGGATACAGTTTATATTTAACCAAGAGCACAATCATTGAAAAATAAAACTCAACAAATGTGAAGATGTTCAACTGATCAGAATTACGGAGACAGAAAAACATATTAAGAACAATAAGAGGAAATTATTTTCTGCCGTAATTTTCTTGAAACTAATATATTTCCATCCCAGTAAAATACCCATAATAATTCATATGGGTTTAATATAATTCAAATATTGAATTTTGAGATCATGTAATATTAACAAATTGGGTTTATTTTTATTTTTTTTAGAATCATGAAAATTAAACCTTGTGTCAGTTGAATGTCTTGGAATCAAAAAAATTTTGGATAATTCAAGAATTATACGTTTGCTTAATGAAAAGGATTTTATCAAATTGTTTTTTTTCAGTTCTTGCTTTTTTAGTGCACCATGCGCGTTCTCACTTTTTTTTTTTTTTTTTTTACTTTTAATCAAATTCCAAAGTGGCTTTTGTTTGGGATATTTTCTTGGTTCTTTTGAAAATTAAAAGGCAAATGTTGACTTGCTTCTTTCACATATTATGTGTGGTACTTGCTTCTTTCACATATTATGTGTAGTACTGGCTTTTTTCACATATTATGGGTAGTACTGGCTTTTTTCACATATTATGGGTAGTACTGGCTTTTTTCACATATTATGGGTAGTACTTGCTTTTTTTCACATATTATGGGTAGTACTTGCTTTTTTTCACATATTATGGGTAGTACTTAGGTTTTTCACATATTATGTGTAGAACTTGCTTTTTTTCACATATGTTTTGGTACTTACTTCTTTCACATATTCCTCTTGTTCTTCTTTCAAAGTCAGTTCAATAAAAATCTGTTGCAACTTTTCATTGCAGTAATTGATGATGAATTGTTCAAAACTATTATTCTAAGAAAAGAAAAACAGACAAAAAATGCTTAAGAAAAATAATGTTTACAAACAGATATACAATAATAAAATGAATCAATTATTTTTTTATGGTAAGTGTAAAGTATAAAATATATAAAAAAATAATTTAGCAAATGTTGAGAAAATAGTTTTGCTTGACATTTTCTAGTCCTTTGGGTTTTGTATTTCAACACAGAAAATGATTTTTTTTGTTCAATTTTTTTTTTTATATTCAAATCTTAAAACTCAGTACTTATGAGATGCACATTTTCTTGTGAATTTCTTTTAATTTATATAATTCTGGAATTTTCTTCCAATGTTAATTCATATAATTTTTTTTAATAATAATTACATAAATTGAACATTATACAGTGAAAATTTCAAATAAAACACCAACAATCAAGTGGGTTAGGCTATGGATTTATTATTGAAAACCTTCAATTTATTTTTAAAAATATATTTGACAAATCTTTTTTTTTTTACTTTCTGTAGTTTAATGACATTTCTTGTATGTTTGGTATTTAGAGTTTGTCAAACATAAACAATTTAAAAAATGATCTAAACAATTTCAAACATTATCAAAAACATAAACAATTTCAAAAATTAACTAAATTTAAAAAATCATTTAAACATAAACAATTTAAAAAATTATCTAAAAATAAACAATTTAAAATATGAAAAACAAACAAAAACAATTTTCCTTGCTTACTAAAGATTGTTTGTCATTTCATAAAGAAAGCAAAATTTTTTGTTGCTTCTTAGGGAGTTTAAATATGAACATAAAACAATTAAAGAAAATATGAAAAAAGTTTTCTTACCTCAAAAACCTCAAAGCCATAAATATCAAGCACTCCCATTACTTTTGTTTTGGTTTTCTTTTTTACCTTTAAAAATAAATATATTAATAAATCTGAATAAAATAAATTCACAAACGACAAAAATAGTTCAAAGAAAAATTCTTCCTATAAAAAAAAAAGAGAGAGAGAGAAGAAGAAAAAGATGACAATGACAATTATATACACCTGTTTTAATAGTAAGTCTGATCAGTTTGATAAAGTAGAACTCAGAGTTTCTCTTGAAATGACCTCCAATCAGTTGTTAACTGGGGCAAGAAATACAAATTTTGTAAATTTTAATGACTCCAACAACGAAACTGCTGTCTTTTAATAAAACAATTTATGCATCAACCACTGTTATATACGGTACCTATGAATACTAATGGGTATGTCGCAATCCTCATAAATACATTGGACATTATTGTAAGTCGGGGTAATATGCCGTCTAAGTAGTCTACAACTAGCAATAGTTTACCTACTTCATGGTACTGGTGAGTATTGTATTTTGTTGATGTTATAAATATTTCATTTCCAACTTCTGTTTTGGTTGTTCCTCATTCAGTAACCTTTTCTAGGTTACAACACCCACACATTCAAGTTTATGACAAATGGCATCCCAGAGTGGTCACCCTTTCAGGTATTGTCCAGGCTCAACATTACTTAACTTCAATGATTGTATGAGAACTGGTGTTTCAACAGGATATGTCTGTAAGCACGAAGAAATGAGACAAGTCATTTGTTTTTCTGAATCAAAGTCAGGTTGATTAAAATGTCTACAATGAGAATGAAACACTATGGTTTACAATGCTGATAGACAAATATGTGAAGTCTTTTCCAGTGAGTTTGTTCTATAGGGTACTTTAATAGCCTGTCTATGTACTAAATGTGGTTTATTCCAATAAATATCTACAATTGCCTACTTTACAGCAATGTGAGGCAAGCGAGTCACTCAAAGCTTATTGCTAGTTATATACTCCATTATTGCAACCATTTGCCAGACTTAATATATACTTTTCAATGCACTTTATACAAAAATGTGATCAGAACAGATATTTCTTGTGGGGTGGGAAATCATTATTGTACAAGATTATCTGAGAATTTTATGTTCAAAATGCCTTTGCAAATAAATTTTTTAACCCAATTGTGGAATTAAACCATGACACTATTATTGTAGTCCAAATGAGATAAATGTGTGAATACTTGAATGTTTGTCTATATTTCTGAGATGAGGTATTATGTACATTAACCACCTGAAGAAGGTCGGAGTGTACAATGGCTGAAACGTTGTGTTAAATATGGTGACAAAGATGAGGACAATAGTCCAAATAATGTACGTGAATGTTTTTTTTTAGTTTTTCTCATACAACAGGCCTACTTATAATACAAATAAGAGCCAGAACTGGAGGCCTATTTCAAAATGTTTGAATTCATTAATTTTGGGAGAAAAGTTAAATAATATTCTTAATAAATGACATTTTCAATAATGTTGTAGTATAAAAATATTATATTTGCTTTTATATTTTTCTTTCTTTTTAACACAGGATTATATATGCAGGCAGAGAGAAAAACGATAAAAGAGTAGGATTGATACTAGATAAAGAATTCAAGAAATGCATTCTGGGATACTACCAATTATCCAAAAGAATCCTGATAGTCAAGCTGAAAGGAAAGCCTTTCAACATAGCTATCTTAGCACTGGCAGCACAAAGTAAGGAAGAAGAAATTGAATCTTTCTACTCCATGCTAGACAATGTCAAAGCTCATTGCACATCACAAGAAGTCATAATTATCATGGAAAAACTGAACACCAAAGTAGGCAGGGAGATGGCATGGGAGATAGCTGGCAAATTCAGACTAGGAACCTGCAATGAACATGGAGAAAAATGGACCCAATGGTGCAAGGCCAATGACCAGGTAATAGCCATCACATGGTTCCATGAACATCTGAGACGATTATGGATATAGAGAAGAACGAAAGGAGAAACTAAAAAAAACAAATTGACTACATAACTATTAACAAAAGATTCAGGAATGCAATGGTTCACTGCAAAACCTACCCAAGTACCAACAGTGGAAGTGAACATTGCCCTATTATATGTAAACTAAGAGTGAAACTGTGGAAATTGAAGAAGCCTAATGCAGCACCCAAATTGCAATACAACAAATTCCTAAGTGACCTGAACCTGAAGGAAAAATATATGGACAGTGTGTAAAGATACGAGGGACGAAATGGAAACTTGAAATGGGGGGCACACTAAGAGAAGCTTTAGTGACATTAGCAAATGACATCATTCCAAAGAAGAATGGATCCCTGATGAAATTCTTGACATGATGCAAAGGAGACAGAAAACTCTACCAAGATATGGAATGGAATGCAGAAAAATACACAATGGAATAAGAACCAAATGCAGTCAGGTTAAAGAAGAGTGGCTAAACAAAAAATGTGCAGAAATATAGAGATTGAATACCACAGACAAAAGAGATCTGCATAAACAAATAAGGGTTGGGTTTGGTTTGGTTTTATGGCATATCAACCTCAATGGGTTATTTAATGCCAACAAAATTTTTATTGTTCGGAATATTTTTTTAAAAAATCTATTTCTGGTAAAATTTTTCCTTCAAAAATTCTATTTCTGGTAATAATTTTCTTTCAAATATGTATTGCTGGTAAGATTTTTTCTTTTTTTTATGTATTGCTGGTAAGATTTTTTCTTTTTTTTATGTATTGCTGGTAAGATTTTTTCTTTTTTTTATGTATTGCTGGTAAGATTTTTTCTTTTTTTTATGTATTGCTGGTAATATTCTTTTTTTTTTTTTTCAAGAAATGTATAGCTGGTAATATATATTTTTCTTTTTTTTTTTTCAAAAATATAATGCTGGTAATATTTGTTTTTCAAAAATGCATTGCTGGTAATAATTTTTTACAAAGTATTTCTGATATTAAAACCTATTTTTACACTTTCAGTGTTTTGATCCCAGTTACAATTCCATTGAATAAGGTTTTGCATCTTGATTATGTATTATGAATTTTTACATGTCCAATTTAAAATTTTTTTTTTTAATATGGGTGAGGAGTCCATCATTTTTATGTACTTCAGACTATTTGCATTTTGTTTCTTGTTATTTTTTGTTCTTTGAACTTCTTTTGTTTCTACTTTCTTCTTTGATTTTACTCCCTTAGTTTTACCATTCAGTTCTTTTAATGAACTTTGTCTAGATGATAATCTTTCCCTTGTTTGTGATGGGCTAGAGATTTGTTCCTCTATGTCCATTTTCCTTGGTTCTTCACTAATCGTTTTTTTTTTGTTTTTTGTATCTTTTAATTCTCTTGAGGATGTTTTGATGTTTCTATTTCTTGGATTTTATTTTTTTCATTTTGATTTTTCGGGTTTAATAGTTTTGTAGATGTAGAGTCATTTTTGTTTGCAGTTGACAGTATAGGGTTTGTTTTTCCATTAGGTTCTTTTAATGATCTTTGTATAGATGATGACCGTTCCTTTGTTTGTGATGAGCTAAAGTTTTGTTCCTCTATGTCTATTTCTCTTGATTCTTCACTAAAAATTGAGTTATTTTTTTTTATGTACCTTTTGATTCTCTTGAGAATATTTAGAGGTTTCTATTTCTTGGATTTTTGTACTTTGGTTTGGAATTTTCGGATTTAATTGTTTTGTACATGTAGAGACTTTTGTTCAAGGTTGATGGGACAGAATTTTTTTGACTATGGGCATTTGATTTATGAGTGATATACTACATTTTAGTAGTTCTACTAAACTTTTTAATTCATTAATAAGAGTTATAAGATCTTGGCTTCTTAATGCATTGTTTTCTTGGATGTCTTTTTGTTGATTTGATATTTTAGTGATATTTACTTGAAGTGAATTAGATTCAATCTGTTTCCTGGCTCCTTGGAATGAGATATTTTGCATGTATTTTCTTCTAATTATTTCCTTTTCCTTTTTCTAAATGTTACACTCTTTGAAGTCTGCTAAATGTTTTTCTTTACAGTTTAGACATAAAGGAGGCCTTTCACAAGGTGATTCATTATGCTCAGTTTCCGGTTCCCCACATCTTTGACAGACAGATGTTCTCGTACAAACATTTTGAAGATGACCAAATTTATGACATTTATGACATCTACAGGGATTAGGAATTTATGGCTCTACCTTGGCTATTGTGTAACCTATCTTTATTTCTTTTGGTAGAGTTGGTTTGTTGAATGTCAAAATATACGTGTTGGTGTTTATTACTGTGTCATTTTTTTTGTACTTGCATTCTTTTAACATCTGTTACTCCTTGCTGTTTTAGGGTGTCATCATTTTCAATTTCTTCTGATGAACAAAGTGACAGTTCTGGACATTTTATTATTCCTTTTGATGAATTAAGAAATTGATGGGGGTAGGCCTTGACTTTATTGTTGTCAATTTGCTTGATTTTTAGTAATTTCTCTGCATCTTTTTTGGATATCACTTGAATTAATAGAGTATTATTTTTCTTTATTTTTTTTTAACAGATTGTGGTTTGATCATGTCTGAAATAACCCTTTGCAACACAAAAGGAGATACTTTTGATATATCACCCTCTATTGATTCTACAACAATGAAAGTTGGAAATTGATTTTTTTCTATTTCATTTTCACTTTCAGAAGTCTCATATCATCTCTTGGTTCACTTATAAGAGTGAGCCATATAATTTTAATTTTTGTATTTGCTGTCTGTGCTCCCTACCAACCTCAGAGTTCTTTCTTAAGGGACGCTATCAGGGAGGACTAATCACATACGCCCTAATCCACCAGGACTACACAGACAGTATAATTGTGATGAGAGTGGATATGAGCACCTGCACTCCCCCACCATATCTACCCAAGTATAATATGATGTAAGGTTTCGTGGCTCTGTTGGACCCATTATCTATCATCCCAACTAGCCCTTGTCACTATGTGACTAGCCGATTGGAATGGATTGGGCTATTCCATCTGCCTGTCTATCCCAGGTAGGTACTGAAGTGATGTGGAAACTCCTGGTCATTTTATACCAGATCAGGAGTCACTC